TCCTGGTGCCTTGAAATTATTATTCGTGTGTTTAGGATCATCGAATTTTCATTCGAAAACCATTAAGAATTTAAATTTTCTCGTAACTAATATTACGAGCAGCCAATGGACTGGGGTTTATTTAACAAGTGTGTTAAGTTTTTTTCTTGTTATATCGTCAAATAACACTCAATCAGGTATTATTTAGCGTAAATTAAGGATAATTAAAGGATAGTGTATAAGATTTACCGTTACTTACAAAAACTACTCGTAACTTACTTTTTTATTTGGTACCAACTACTCAGCAAAAGTAAAAAAAACAGATCGATTTTTTGTTTAATACATTTCTTAAAAGCAATAATTACAGTATTTTTACTTATATTAGTATAGAAAATCGTTAGTGCTTCATATTTTATTGTAATTTGCTTCAATTTCCGATCCGAATAAATTGAGAATAAATTGAGAAGATCCGAATAAATTGAGATTGAATTATCGGGTAACATTTAGGCAATACTCTGCGTCGACCGGATGGCGTAGAGGTTTGTGTAACGGAGTGATATTCCAAAGATTCGCGGGTTCGATTCCGCTCAAGTCAAATATTTGTGTGCATAAACATTTAATGTTTGATTTGGTCGGATTGTTGTAATATGTATGTATTTACAAAAAAAAAGTATTTATATCAGAGGTACCCATATAGTACAAGTTCTGCTTAGATTGGGACTAGATGGCGCTGGGTGAATGTGGTATAATAAGAACTAGTAGTAGTAGACACTTAGTGCTATATATTTTTTTGTAAATTGCTATAATGTGATCTAAATTCACCTCTAAGGTCCTAATTGATTTAGATTAATTTTTTTTGTTTTGAATACATTTATTAGGTACATGTATTTATGCTTAAAATAATATATATAGTTAGTACTACACGTTTTATTGCAATTTGCTATCTGAGATCCTAATTTTATTAATTATACGAGTACATACATACATAGGTAGGTAGATAGTTGGTACAATATTGAGTGTTAGATTTTTGTAAAACTTGTTAATTTAACTGTGTATTAGAGTACAACTAGGTAATTGCATTGTAATTAAATATAGTTCCTTAAATTTATTACTGTATAGATTCCAAATCAACGAAATTCGTTTTCCAGTATGTGCGATGAATACTATTTTAGTGCAAAATCAAGGGAGCTTTAAAAATCGCTTAACTGTTTTTAGTAAAAATACGTTGATGGATTGGGTGACAAAAAATTAAGAAAGAAAGATCCAGTGGTTGTACGAACAATACCATGAGGTACACATACGTCTGGAATGTATTACTGATTATGATACCGTTTCGGAATTTCAATCTCTTTATTATAATGCAGTGTCTAGGTTACAGGAATTATTCAATAAATATAATAAAGATAGTGATTCGTTTAACAGTGAAAAAGTACCCGTGTAGTATTACTCATTGTTCAATTGCCTAAATTTGGTGGATCTTGTTGCAATTGGTTAGCTTTAATACGGTAATAGATGAATGAAATAAAAGCCTTACCCTGCGATTGTTAATTTAAATTATAACTCGTAAGTGTGTATATAATATTTCACACATCTCACACAAGGCCGTCTGGTCCCAAACTAGGCAGAGCCTGTACTATGGTAACCAGACTGCTAATAAACATACTTTAATATTTTTAATACAAACATATTATAGTTAAAGTACACCTAGACACAGAACAAATGGCCGTGCTCATCACACAATTATTTGTTCATGGTGGGAATCGAATCCTCTGGCGTAGCAGTCAGGGTCACTAACCACTAGACCAACAGGCCAGTCAGGCCAGTAAGTTAGATCCATAAAAGGATTATGAGTTTGAAGAGTACAAAGACCGGTTAGATAAGAACATCGCAAAAATATTTTCTTCAATTCATTCACTCACCTGCTGATTTACACCAAACATTGGAGTTTTCATGTCCCATATAGTTTACACACTACTACGACTCTGTACTTGGAGCTCGTACAAGGCAGTACACGCTCAGACCATTACTCTGCTATTTTATTTGCTGTATCCGTGCGAATCCCCCACATGGTAAATAAATAATGGTACACCACCATTATTTATTTACCATGTGGGGGAATTAAGAATTGAATCGATATATCAACAAGCAGTTATCATTGCATATAAGGGATATATACACAACAATTAATCTTATACAAAAAATTATGTGAACTCTTCTCTTGAAAATTATTATTTGCTATTTGAAAGCAGAAAGAAACGTTTAGTCCTTAAGCTTGGCTTGTATGATAAAATAGGGAAATAATTTGATAAACTACAGCTTCACAACCGTTATATTCAAATGTCATTGTCAACAACTCAAAACTAAATACTGCCTGCGTTTAGTTTTGGAAAATATCATCAATCTTCGTGAATCGGAACACAAGACAACTTACGATTTAATACTTGAGACCTCTTAGAACTGCAACACGTATCTGAACAAAATTAGAATCTAGTTATTTTTTGTCATAATATACCAAGCAATAAACAATTCAAGTAAAATTTAAAATTGATTGAACATAAAATCTAATCCCAACATTTCTATCATTTATTTAATAGTTCATGTTAATTTTATTTATGATTACAGAGGTTTGTCATTATCTTTTTGACTTCGTCACTATCACGTAACATAATGAGTGATAAGCCCAAAAAATCAATACGATTATAATATAGGACATGAGACCATATTTACAATTGTATATAAGACTGTCCTGTGTAAAATGTTTATTTTTCTCAAGACGGCCTTAGAAGAAGTAGGATTTTTATTTCTTATAACTTGAAGATGACCGAAATACTGACGTACAAAAGTACTATGGCGACTTCCACTGACGGTGAAACGATGAAACATACTACAGCGTCATCTAATGAAGACACGTCGAACTACGGAGCAACTGCTAATTCTGTATCGCGATATTAACAATTCGATTAGCACAATATACATATATAACTTCCCACTTTACTCGAGTTTTGCACAAATACAGGCTGTATTACTTCTTGATAAGGAAGCCTTATATTTAAAAATATTTTTTAAAAGTGGGGAATTACTTTCATCGTTCATCAGCCACAGAAAGTCAAATATTTCCTTGACAATTTACGTGTAAATTGGCAATATGTCAACACACATTTTACACATCTCAAAGATTACTAATACTAAAAGGAGAAAGATATTTTGGCAACAAGCTCTTCACAAGCAGCAATGAAAGGCTATCTCTACACGATGTGCGTTGTTAAGTTTGAAAGGTAACTTGACACAATATTCAAAAAAACTTTCCCACCTAAAGGGGGCTAGAGAAGGAGAAAAGCATACTTAATACGACTTTATGCATGGTAGAATTGCAAAAAAATTACAACTCAATTGAAAAGAGGTGGAACGGAACACACATATTAACAAATAAGGACAATAGTCAGACAAAAAAATAGGACACTTACCTTTAAAGTCACACACACACACACACACATCAGCCTTTAGTAGTCCAATGTTGGACATAGGTCTCTCCTTAGATAGGAGGGTTCGACCTTTAAAGTAGACTCATAAATTTAATTCCTCGGAAATGCAATGTTCCTATAGATGCTTTAAAACATGGTCACTATCTGTTTATTTTTGTATAAATAGTGCGTACTTGTAAAAAGATTACAGTGGCCTTTCAACAAGTATTTACAATCATGCTCGGAAAATTTTTACTTTATACGGTGCTTACTCTACTATTTTTTTCCACTTACTTGGCTTACAAATATGTTAAGAAGAGACTCCAATACTGGAAAAAGAGGAACGTTCCTTATGTAAAACCAGTGCCAATATTAGGCAACTTCGCGGATTACATTCTGTTCAAAAAATATGTCGGCCATGTTCTTCAAGATCTCTGTAAAAAGTTTCCAAACGCTCCCTTCTTTGGCGCTTTCTTCGGCACAGAACCCACCTTGGTGGTTCAAGATCCGGAAATCATCAAGTTAATTATGACAAAAGATTTTAATTTCTTTAGTGGTCGTGAAATCCTGAAATATTCCGCAAGAGAAATGCTAACCCAGAACCTTTTCTTCACTTACGGTGACAGGTGGAAGCTTTTCCGCAAAAATCTCTCTCCATTATTCTCTACAGCCAAGATGAAGAACATGTTCCATTTGATTGAGAGTCATTCTCGAGTATTTGAGCATATACTTGATCAAGAAACAAAGATGTGTGATGTGATCGAAGTGAAGTCTCTTATGTCAAGGTATACACTGGATTGTATATGCTCTTGTGCTTTTGGTGTAGATCCACAAGCGTTAGCGAAAAAAGAAGAGAATCCTTTCAAGGCTGCTGGAGAACAGATTTTCGATAGCCAGCATATGCAGGCGTTCAAAAATATATCACGAGCTATTTGGCCTGCCATTTTCTACGGCTTAGGACTACAGGTGTTTTCAAAGAAGCTTGAGACATTCTTTTATAGTCTATTGACAGGAGTTTTTAAGGGGCGACAATATAAGGCAACAAACAAAAATGATTTTGTGGATTTACTCCTGAAATTGAGAGAGCAAAAACAGCAATCTCCAGAGAGTTTTGACGGTTTGGAAATTAATGACGATATGTTAGTGGCGCAATGCTTCCTTTTCTTTGCTGCGGGATTTGATACTTCGGCGAATACATCTAGTTTCACCTTGTTTGAACTAGCAAAGAATCCACAGGCACAAGAGAAAGCTTTAGAGGAGGTAGATGCATATCTGCGTCGCCATGACAACGTGCTGGAATATGAATGTTTAACGGAGATGCCGTATCTTGAAGCATGTATGGATGAGGCTCTTCGCCTGTACCCCGTGCTAGCAACACTTAATCGAGAAGTCACCGAAGACTATACTCTTCCTGATGGCCTAGAGCTGGAAAAAGGGTTGCGAATTCATATACCGTTATATCATTTGCAACATAGCCCTGAGCACTTCCCCGAGCCTGAACAGTATCGTCCAGAGAGGTTCCTTGGTGAAGAAAAACGCATGATCAAACCTTACACTTACATGCCTTTTGGTGAAGGGCCAAGAATATGTATAGGTAAGCCTATTTTATATTTCGTTTACTTTTCTGTCATAACATATGACACTTTTCCTGAGATTATGTTTTACTTTTGTGTAGCTTATTCACATAGTTTACTTGTGATTGAGTGTAGGTGTTATTTCATATTATTATCAATGATGTTGATTTGATTCGATTTACCCCAAAACGATTGCATGGAAAAAATAATTGACAAATTGCTCATAAAGGTGATCCTACATCAGGTAAAACTTTTCAAAAGTTATAAAATGCGTGTATAAGTAATATCTATCATTTTTTCGAGGAATTCTCTAATTACAACGTCATCTGTAGTTATGTAAACTACAGATAACGCTGTAATAACATAATCTCAAGAAGAGTGACATAACTTTCTTGCTCGTCCTTTAAATAACTTAAAACTGTTTAAATTTAAACGCCTAAACAAAAATACCACCATCATGATCCTAACTGAAACCGATTGTTTATTAGTGACTTTAAACGGTTCAAATAATTAAAAACAACAAATAAAAACCATTATTATATTAGTTACCTATAGTAACGAATATTTACAAACACTTTAAAGAAACAATTTCGTTAAAGATGAGGTGCAGTTGGTGATGAGAAATGAGAGTGGCTTTGATTATAAAAGTGAAGATAAGCTAACGCGGGAACTTGACATGAGCATGTCAAAGATTGCAACATAGGGAACTCTATTCTGTTATTCTGTTGTCCCCAGGTCTGAGGTTTGCGAAGATGCAAGTGATTGCTGGCTTGGTCACCTTGTTAAAGAAGTATCGAGTTGAGCTGGCGGAGGGTATGGAAAGAAAAGTGGAATTTGAACCTAAAGGATTGATCACGTACCCCATCAGCGGGATCAACCTCAAGTTTATTGAAAGAGAAGGATGGAAAGATCGGGTGTTTCAGTCTCCTAAGTCTAAAGTTTCTTCTTGATGTGTGTACGGCTGATATTTAATTTAATATACAACACAAATGCATACTTTTTATGTACATATGTATATACAAGCTTTCGTAGTATAGGAAATAGTTTTATTTTTGGTTGTAGCAAACTATACAACCATAACATGTATTTTATTAAATTATTTAATTTTAATCACTTTACTATAAGAGACTGATGTTGTTTTACAAAATGTAAATAAATAAAGTATGTATGGTTAATAAGGATTATTTTATTTATTTTTATATCTTGTAAATTACATTTTTAAGTATATAAACATTAAATGTTTAAAAATATAAAAAAAATGTGGACCACCAACATGGACCACGATGATCAAAACACTGTTGATTAGGGCTCCGAAGACAGGAACCCACTCAATATACGAGGAAATATGCCTTTTGCATCAGGCCCTTTATCGAACTATCTACTAAGTTGTTGTTTACTTGAGTTAGCTACTTAAGATGTTGTTTAACGCTCTTAACTATCAATCCAGGAGCATAAATGACTACCGGAACATGATCACCGAACCAACATTTCGACAACCTCGTGAGATAAATCCAAGTATTGCATTTCTTTTTCTTTTTCCACTTTCACGAGCTTCTTGTCATGAAAACGGCCATATTGACAATTAAATCGATCGAGCTATTGCTACAATATTATTGATACCGGAGTGATAACACGACCTCACAGAAATCCGATGATAAGCAATTCTTTTGTTGCCTTTCACTGAGTGAGTGAGGTTACCGGCCCAAATCCCCCCTCCCAGTGACTCGAGCGGGAGGGACTTCAAGGGCAGCAACGCACTTGTGACTTTTGAGTTGCAGGTGTCTATGGGCGGCGGTAGTTGCTTACCATCAGGTGACCCGTCTGCTCGTTTGTCCCCTTACACAATAAAACTGAAATAAATAACTGGGTCCAGTACAATACAATACAATACAGTACAATACAGTAAAGGTACCATACCTTTAGTATGGTACCTTTAAATTGACAAGTTTTTAGTTGTAAAATCCTGGCTACTTCAATGTGTCTGTGCAAATATACACCGTTAATTTTATAAATTTCATCATCTTCAACAGACTTTAATAGTCCACTGCTGGACTATGAAAGACTATTAAAGAGGTCTAACCTCTCCTTAGAAAGGAAGTTTTGGCTTACTATACTACGCTGGCTAAACGGGTTAGTTTAGGATTTCTTTCAAGTTTTCCTTTTCTTTGCTGTGCTGTTGTCCTATGTAGTTTGCTCCCTTAGTCGCCTCTTACGATACACACAAGAAGAATGAACACGGACGGAATAATAGTTATTAATTATTTGAGTGTAGCCGTGAAACTACTCGTATATATAGACGACTAGCTGACCCTGCAACTGTTTTGCTATTTACATTATATTTAAAAAATCTTTTTTTTTTTAATTTCTTAAAATCCGTTCTTAGCTGACCTCTACTCGGTGAAAAGAATATTCCTACCAAATTTCAAGTCTTTAGCTCTAATGGTTCCAGAGATATCGTGATGAGTGACTATATACGTGGAAATCACTTATATAATATATATAGATTAGCAGTACTCCATTAAAATTAAGGCCGAACTTACTCGATTCAAGGTGTCTATAAATAAGCAGGCAGCAGCAAACAGGGTTTAGTTTAGGTGGTAAAAGCTATCAAGCTCAAGCATGTCTGACACCAGGTTCAATAGCCAAAGCATTAAACTCTTTCAGTGTTTGTCTTTAATTTCTTTGTTGCTCTATTTGAGTATGTGTTATGAATTCACTCAAATAGAGCAACAAAGAAATTAATCACAAAAATATATTTGTATAATTATACAAATACATTTGTGATTAATTTTTTGTAGGTACATCAATTTTACCGTGTGGTGACGGATTAAGAATACACAGTGTCACCACCCCTATTCATCCCGTGGGAGTCGTAAGAGCCGACTAAGGGAGCAAACTATGCAGGACAACAGCACTACAGAGAAAAGGAAAACTTGATACAAACCCTATACCAACCCGTCTGGCCAGCGTGGTATAGTAAGCCAAAACCTCCTTTCTAAGGAGAGGCCTATATCCAGCAGTGGACTAATAAAGGCTGTCCATGATGATGATGATGATGATGATGAGGTACATTCATTATCCATCAGACATGAGCTTCTCGATCAGATTTTTATTTTGTTATCATTGATATCACCATAATATTTTTTGGTTAAATAATTACAGTACATACTTCTCATGAAATTATCGTTTGCTTTAGTTATTTGTTCGAGCGTAAATAATGCTGAGAAAACCTTATAAAAGATGTTTTTTTTGTCGGGGTCATTTTTTTCATTAAAGATGTCATTACTTTCAATACTATCGTGACATCAATACCATCGTACATGAAAACTGGCCACAACGATTGAAATCGAGTTGCAATCAGAGGATGGCCTCTGTATAATGAGATAATGTATTCTGCAATATAACATTTATAGTAAAATAAATTTAAATGTTTTACTTGAATTTATGGGTGTTCTTTCATATTATAATCCATTCCATTCTCATCACTTAGACCTTTGGCACTGCAACACTGAGTTCTTCAAGATACTTTAACCTCGCACCACCAGTTTGTGAAACAAATACAGCCACAGGGTATTTCCGTGCATAAATAAAATAAACACATAAAAAAAAATAGCATACTCCCTGAAACATAGGCACCGATAGACGATGCCCGACTATCGGTGTCTATTTGCTCATTTTTCCTCCATATCTTGAACAAAAAGATACAAGCTCTAAGACCCCGCGAATCTAACGTCTCAACCAAACACAACTCAAAATATAATTACACTTATATACTTATTACTTATAATTACACTACAAAATATAAATATACTCCGTTCTAGGCTCTCTGTGTGACGACTACATGCGCATAGAAGAAAAATAAAATTGTTTTTAAGTGTTTTATAAACTATAGCGCCAGTGTTTCTTAGATCTAGGTAGCAGTGTGCTTAATATCATTTCCTTTCTGTCCTCCTCCTATTTTATATCCTTGTAATACAGCGAAGCAGAGGCCAGAGACATCAACTGCCCATCGGCAGTGTGTCTCATGTGTAAAGGACACATTTCGAAATTAAGGATAGCCCACAGAGATGACTAATAGTGGTACGAGATTCGGAGATATGTAACAGAATATTTTTATATTATACTAGCTGCCCCCGCAAACGTTATTTTGCCATATCCATTATTGCTACGAAATTTTGAAAAAAAAAATTAAGGGTGTGTCACCATTGTCATTTAGGGGTATGAAAAATAGATGTTGGCCGATTCTCAGACCTACCCGATGTGCACACAAAATTTCATAAAAATCGGTCCAGCCGTTTCGGAGGAGTATGGTAACTAGCATTGTGACAAGAGAATTTTATACAATAAGATAAGATACGGAGTTTATAAACGTACAAACTTTTAGACGTCAAGATTGAGGTCGTCCACTATCTTTATATTTATAAACACACATTAATGTTTAATGTTGTTGTTCAATATGAATATGCAACATTTCATGACTAGCAATATTTAACTAACAACAAAAAGCTTTTATAATAAACAAGATAAGATAGTGCACACTCATCATGACATTCTTCAGGTTATTTTACTAATCACGTTGCTCCCTTAAAATTACTTTTATTTGTCTTTTATTTATTTATTTAAAACCTAATGCACATGTTGTACAGAGGCGGACTTATTGCCAACAAACAATTACCAACCCGTCTGGCCGTTCTGGCCTATTATACCACCCTGGGGTGGTATAATAGGCCAGAGCGGCGGCACTGCGCTATAAGGGCGACCCCAAGGGTCACGACCGAGACCCTCCAGCATCTCCTTTATTTTCACCTCTTTTGCTAGTGGCCAGCTTCAGAGTTTGCCACGCCTCTCGGTACTCCTCATTTAGCCGGTCCTTCTCACCGTCTTCGCGGTGACGCCGCCGACTGCGGGTGTAGGGTAGGGACCTCGGGTCTGGCGCTAACGCAGGCTTTGATATGGTGAAGGTGTTCCAGCAAAGTGGGAATTGAATCCCAGCGGAAAGCGACTAATGCGAAGACATGGCGCAACATACGCTCTTGGTTTGTTCGGGTTGTTCGCCGGAGCGTCTTGCTCTCTCTGTATCTCTGTTTTCGATCTCTCACTTCCAGCCATCCTGAGCAACATGGCCCATGTATTACCGTGTATTAGGTGTTTTACCACAGATACATCCTTTTGCGGGGAAGTAATTTTACGAAATGAAGATCTGTGAGGATCCAGTTGGATCCGATACCGCTGCAGTAGCGACGGTCCTTCCATTTCAAATGCAGTATGGCACACCGTGTGGTTTTAGTCGGTCGCAGTCTGACAAAAAAACTCTAACCGATAGCCCTGGTGAGGTATCACTCATGATTCCAAATAAATTAAAATCTCTGATAGGGAAACATCTTTCTTTACTTTGACTTTACAAACAAATATGAAACGGACACAAAGAACACCCAGATTCAGAACAACAATTTGTCAATCACACAAAGTGTCGTCCCATATAATCGAACCCACAACACTCAGCGTAGCAGTAAGCAGCGTGGCGACCACTTAAACCACTACGCCAGCCGTGCAGTCAATTAAAATCTCTGATAGGGAAATATTGAAACGGCAACAGCTAGAAGTTGCGTCCATGTAAACCAGAGACGTCGCTATGCCGCCCTAGTGGTTTCTCTATATCTGATACGCACACAAGTCTGAAAAGATTATCAAAAAAATATAAGAATATGTAATTAATGATGTTTTTCAATATGAACATGCAAGATTTTATGACTAGTATTATTGTCGACTTGAAACAAAGAGCTAAAGAAGATAAGACAGCGTAATCCGCCATATTATTTTATTTGTCAATCAAGGCAGGCCCTTTAAATAGTTTCTCTTCTTCGATGATAAGATCCCATACCTAGTAATACTTTGTTTTTTATTTTGATTTGTTATTCTTTTAATTTTAAAATTAAAATGTTGCCCATATATGTATGTGTCTTTTGCCCGTGGCTACGTTCGCGTGTATGTCAGTTATAACGGTAAAAAGCCTATGTCCTTCCTCAAGAATCAAACTATCCCCATACTAAATTTCATCAAAATCGGTTGAGAGGTTTTTGATTCCCCATACAAACTTCCACTCCCCTTTTCACCCCCTCAAGGGATGATTTCTGGGATAAAAACTACCCTATATCCTTTCCCGGGACTCAAACTATATGTACACCGAATTTTAGGTTCAGTTGTTTAAGGTAACAAATAGACAGACATACAGATACACTTTCGCATGTATAATATTAGTATAGACTAGTATGGTGTAACTATGAATATAATCGAAACTTCAACAACCAATTATTATCAACTAACAGAATAACGCAAAAACATAATAGTTAAGGCGATACAAAAACTTTTTAAAATGATGTAGTTTTTATTATTTACTTGCAAAGCAATTCATGCTTAGATTTAATTTCTATGTGTGTGTACACTTTTTTTTGTAAGTACATACTATAGTATGTACTTACAAAAAAAAGTGTACACTTTTTTTGTAAAGCCAGCCAGTTTTTTTAAGCCTCGGGCAAAAGGTAATAATAGATACATACATGGGCAACATTTTAATATTGAAATTAGAAGAATTACGAATCAAAATAAAGCGACGTCCCTTACACCGTGTTTATATACAATATACTGAAAATTTTATCAGCTGTCAAAGGTTAATGTCATTCCCCGTAGGTATCTCGAGGGCGCGTTTCAACTGTTTGATTAATAACAGTGTAGTTTTTTGGTATTTATAAAAAAAATTGGTAAAGTGTTCTGTCTACTCCTTGTGATATCCTTTTGCATCATTTAGTTTGTCACCAGTAAAACGTTTTTTTTTTTTTAATTTTCCGGCAGAAAATTCCAATGATTTTCGACTCAGAATCATGGTCTGAATACACTATTTCAGTATTCGTTACGATGTCTCTTACAACTTGTAAATATTTAATATTATATCTGGTGAGTATGGCGGATGAGGGAGAGCTTCCAACCCCAGCTCTTGCAGCTTGGAGACTGTCTGTTGCGCAGTATGGGGTCGCGCGTTGTCGTGAAGGAGCAGTGGGGATGACCGATTGACCAAAGCGGGTTGCAGATGTGACCCCCAGACCTTGCACCTACCGACCATTACTTTTTCCAAAATTTAGACAACTTTTTAGTGGGTAAAAAATTCAATTCCCGAGAGGCAGTACAAAATGCCTTTGAAGAGTTTGTTGCCTCCCGTCCAGCTGATTTTTAGAAGAAGTGCATCAATTAACTGCCAATGCGTTGGCAAAGATGCGTCGATTGCATGGGTGATTACTTCGAATAACAGAAATAAAAAAGTTTGAAAAAATAAGTACTTTCACTTATTGCATACAAAACGGCAATTTCATAGGTAAAGACCTATTATATCAGTATATTTATACAACATTTGTTTTTTTTTATTTTTTTATCTACTTATCTTCGTCGTTATTATCTAATGTAATAAGCCACACAAAGCAACATGATTATTATACACAACTTGTGACCTCATTTACAGTTTTATAATAGACTGTCCTGTGTTGCTACTTTTTTTAATCGAATAGGGGTATTATAATTGTTTTATGACAACTGATTGCCCTTACTGTAACTTGTAGATGTCCGAAATACTGAGATAGAAAGCATATTGCAACAAAAAGCTTTTTCTTACAACTTCTGCGAGGGGCCTTGGACTCGTTTTTCGCATATACTCAAAAAAAAATACATACTCAGTTACTTGGGGATAAAGAAGCCTTCTATTTAAGAAATAATAGTTAAAAGCGATGCACAAGCTTCACAATTTGTCAGCAACGCCTCCGGTCGCTGTCGCAACTAAGTTCGTAGCCAGTTGCATTATAGAAAATATTTTTCCTCCGATACGGAACGATAGAGAAATTTAGTTGCGGAAGAGTGGATTATTAGGATGGCGACATTATAATTCATTTTATTTAAGTTTATCATTTCTTGAATATACCAACCTAATGAACCAAATATACTCATATCTAACTCGTAAATAAATATATATAATTATAAATTAACGTAACCGCGACGTAAGCTGGTCCCAGTGGGAGACCAGTCTAAGTCCTGCCAGCCGTTTAACGCACAAGTGTTTAGTACGTAGATCTAGTAGATATAGTACCTCGTAGATCAGCAGAGTCCTGAGTTTTGTGGTAGTCGGCACTGAAATATAATATTGCATAATCACACATATAAATATAGGAACAATAGATAGACACAACTTTTTTTTTTAAAGTAGACATTAGTTCGGAATTGCTGTTAAATGAAATGTCCCTAAAATTCCTAGCAACATGGTCACTGTCCATTTGTTTTTATATAAATAGTGCTCATTTAAAATGATTACAGTTGTCTTTCAAAAAGTATCATCAAACATGTTCGGCGGTACGATACTTTATACGGTGCTTACTCTTCTAATTGTTTTTATTTATTATACTTATATATATTTTAATAAGAGACTCCAATACTGGAAAAAGAAGAACGTTCCTTATTTAAAACCAGTGCCAATATTAGGAAACTTTTCGGATTATATTCTGTTCAAGAAATATCTAGGCCATGTTGTTCAAGATCTTTGTAAAAAGTTTCCAAATGCTCCCTTCTTTGGCGCCTTCTATGGCACAGAACCCACCTTGGTGGTTCAAGATCCTGAAATCATCAAGTTAATTATGACAAAAGATTATAACTCCTTTAGTGGTCGTGAAATCCTAAAATATGCCGAGAGAGAAATGCTAACCCAGAACCTCTTCTTCTCTTACGGTGACAAGTGGAAGATTTTCCGCAAAAACCTCTCTCCGTTATTCTCTACAGCCAAGTTGAAGAATATGTACTATTTGATTGCGAATCATTCTCGAGTATTTGAACAAATACTTGATCAAGAAACGAGAACATCCGATGTGGTGGAAGTGAAATCTCTTATGTCAAGATATACAATGGACTGTATTTGTTCCTGTGCTTTTGGTGTCGATCCACAGGTGTTGACGAAAAAAGAAGAAAATCCTTTCAAAGCTGCTGGAGAAACGATTTTCGATAGCCAGCATCTTCGGGCGCTCAAAAATACATTACGAAATATTTGGCCTGCTATTTTCTACGGCTCAGGACTAAAGGTATTTCCGAAGAAGCTGGAGACATTTTTTTGTACTTTATTGACAGGAGTCTTTAAGGATCGAGATTATAAGCCAACGACCAGAAATGATTTTGTGGATTCCCTACTGAAATTAAAGGAACAAAATAAGCTTTCTCCGGAAAGTTTTGACGGTTTGGAAATCAATGACGATATGTTGGTGGCGCAAAGCTTTCTTTTCTTTGGTGCAGGATTTGATACTTCGGCGATTACATCAAGTTATACCCTGTATGAACTGGCGAAGAGTCCACAGGCACAAGAAAAAGTTTTTGAGGAGGTAGATACATATCTGCGTCGCCATAACAACGTGCTGGAATATGAATGTTTAACGGAGATGCCGTATCTTGACGCGTGTATCGATGAGGCTCTTCGTCTTTACCCCGTACTTGCAACACTTACTCGTGAAGTCACCGAAGACTATATTCTCCCTGATGGCCTGAAACTGGAAAAAGGGTTACGGATTCATATACCATTGTATCATTTGCAACACAGCCCTGAACACTTCCCCGAACCTGAAGAATATCGTCCAGAGAGGTTCCTTGGTGAAGAAAAACGCAATATAAAACCTTACACTTACATGCCTTTCGGTGAAGGACCGAAAATATGTATAGGTAAGCATATTATTATTGAATTCTTTTGTTTATTAAACTCTACTTGCACCCACATAATCTTTGTCTTATCAGTTTATTTTACTGGCCTAGTCTTCTTCTTGAAGCTACATTTAATCAGAGTTATGTGTAAACAGTTATTCCCGAAAAATGGATTTAATAGACATTATTTTAAATTTAAACTTTTTCACCCGATGTCAGTACATGTTTCTGAGCAGTTAGGTATATTTTAATGATTTTTCTATGCGATCTATGTAAGTGGAACCAAAGTAGTAAATTTTATCAAATAGTTGAATAGTGATGAATACTGACAAACATTTGAAAGAAACGTTTTCGTTACAGATGATGTTTTATGGTTAGTCAAAACTAGCGTGACTTTGATTAGGTATACAATTCATCAAGTTCGTATTCAAACATTGCATCATAATAAACTCTATTCTTATATCCCCAGGTTTGAGGTTTGATAATGATAATGATAATGTTGAATTGACTTGTCCTATTAATTCCAAATTACTAGTAGTGACTTTTCATCAAATAGTTGTATAGTGACAAACACTTCCAAGAAACAATTTCGTGAAAGATGATGTTGTACAGTTAGTGAAAACCATCGTGACTATGATTATATTGTAACATAATAAACTCTATTTTCTTATGTCCCCAGGTTTGAGGTTTGCTAAGATGCAAATGATTTCGGGTCTAGTCACCTTATTTAAGAAGTACCGAGTTGAGCTGGCGCCGGGTATGGGAAGACAAATAGAGTTTGAACCCAAAGCATTTATCACATACCCTGTTAGCGGGATCCGACTCAAGTTTATTGAAAGAGAAGGATGGGAAGATCGGGTGCTACAGTCCTCTAAGCCTCAAGTTTCTTCTTGAAATTTCTACGGAAGAATTTTTAAGACGCAACACAACTATAGACTTATTTGTACATATAATGTATATACTAGCTTACTTAGTATAGGAGATGCTTTTATTTTTAAGTTATTTAAACTGTGCGATTACACTGCTACTAAAACATGTATTCTACTGAATTTAAAGCACGTTGCAGTAAGAAAACGATGTTGTTGTATAAAATGAAAATAAATAAATGTTGGTTAATAACTATTCTCTTTGTTTTTATATACCTGCAAAGTACATTTTTGTGTACATGAATAAAGTTATAAATATTTAAAAATGTAATAAGTACTACACCACTGACATCAGGTATAGAGAAAAGAAACCGGTGGTAAGGGGGCTAAAGTCAGGAACCCATTCAATAAAGGAACGGGTTTGGAGGGAACCGAACTGAGAGAGCCTTCTTCGGCAACGCCGGTAACGGTGTATTTGTATTGCTGTTATACATAGTGTTAATACTTACGTTTGTGACCTCTACAAACCAAAACAAATGAAGTTTTTAAATCAACGCCATCACAGAAGATGGCCATTTAAGCTTTATATATTTAAATCAGCTTTAAAATTCAAAGGTAAATCTAAATCAATAGGAAACTTCGATCTGATATAATGTAATTCGATGAAAATCAAGTTCGTTAATTTTTTGTCATAGTAAAAATTATTTTCGATGACAAACTTTTGTTCAGTTATTTAAGCTGTCTTTAATTAAATAATATTTTATTTATAATGATTTCACACATCTCACACACGGCCGTCTGATTTCAAACACGGCAGAACCTGTGCTATGGTAACCAGACTGCTGATAAACATATTTATATTATGTTCCAAAATATAGACATATTTAAGAAAAACTATACTCAGACTTGTATCCTCTTGTGGAGCTCCTTGTGGAGCGTTTTGACAACCCCTTCAACCAACTTGAGCAGTTAGCTAAAATCCCTGGTATCGGTCCTTTAAGGTCTCCCTTTGAGTCCATCCTTCGTCAAAAACTTTAAGGGCCAAAAGTCATGAAGGATGCAACTCATATCAACTGACTATTGAATCGGAATCAAAGTAAGGTACGTGTCGAGGTAGTGATAATGAATTTTGCAGCGTCATAGGTCACGTGTGTGATTGGTATATGATAATAGGCGTATGGTATGTGGTACTTTATACACTGGTGATGGTAAAAAATTGTGGTACTGTGAGATATTGTTGGTATTATAAAATACAATTTTTGGTGGTTATATTTTGCTTGCCTTGGTATGGTCATAGTGATAATGGTATTTTAATGCTAATGAACCAACAAATTTGACAAAAGTATATCTATTAATTTATTGTCTGTAGTCTAAATTATTATTTTTTTGAGTTAATGAAGAATCCTTGGTATCAAATTATAGATAAATAATTTACCATGAAATACATCGGACCGACTAAAAGCACTTAGGGTGTGCCACTCTGCGCCTAAAATACATTCAGTCAAAAAAGTATCGGGAATAGATGATTTGTTTAAGGTTTCAAATTCAAATTTTGTTTTCTTTTGTTGTTGTTAGATTGGCACAACTGTTTCCAAATTGTAATAAATACAATGCTGTTTTTTGTTATATCATATCTAGTGTGTATTGCGAATTTCCTAATGGACAAAAACATCGAACAAAGATATTGTCTTAAATTTTGCATCGCCAATGCAAAATTGTCCGTGTAGTGACGGATTAAGAATACGGAATGTCACTACCCAGATTCATCCCGTGGGTGTCGTAAGAGCCGACTAAGGGTGCAAAACAACGCGGGATACCAGCACTGTAAAAAGGAGGAAAACTTGACACAAACCCTATACCAACCCGTCTGGCCAGCGTGGCATAGTAGGCCAAAACCTCCTTTCTAATAAGAGGCCTATGTCCAGCAGTGGACTATTAAAGGCTGTTGGTGTGATGATGATGAATGGAATTTCGTGTTCGGAGTCACTAAAAATGTTACAGAAGGCTTACGGTAAATCGACTTTATCAAAAACACGTGCTTATGAGTGGTACATAGCGTTCAAAAGCGGTCCAGATGTGATGGAAGATTTGCCTCGCTCTGGTATTCCATCAACGTCTGCAACTGAAGTTAACATCGCAAAAGTGAAGGAAATAGTGACTGAAAATCCTCATTAGACTTTGAGAGAGATAGCCGCCGAACTTTCTGTATCTCACGAGTCGATCAGTACCACTTTAACTAATGATTTGGGTATGAAATATGTTACCCCTCGGCTAGTCCCAAAAGACCTGAATTTTCTCCAAAAACTCAATCGCATGAGAGTCGCTGAGGACATGCTAGAACGAGTGAATTCCAACCCAACATTCATGAACCGCATTGATACTGGTGACGAGACATGGGTTTACGAGTTTGAAATGCAAACTAGTCAACAAGCTTCGGAGTGGCGCCTTCCAACTGAACAGAAACCGAAAAAAACACGTGAAAGTCAATCAAAATTCAAAGTCATGTTGACTGTTTTCTTTATCAAACGGTAAATAAAGAACATTATTTGAGCGTTATGCGGTATTTAAGAGAGCAAATTCGACGAAAAAGGCCAGATTTGCACTCGATTTTCTTCGAATTACATGATTTCACGTCAAAGTATCCTTTTAATATATCCTGCTGATTGAAATATAATATAAGGCTGAAATGCCCAACTTCTTTGATGGCATTAGCGATTTATAGGCTTCATTTGTTATGGTTTATAGAAGTCACAAACGTAAGTACTAACACTATATAAAACAGCAATGGAAATACAACGTTAGCGCCGTTACCATGGGAGGCTCTCTCAATTCGGTTCCCTCCAACCCCCTTCCTTTATTGAGGAGAATTCCTGTCTTTGGCCCCGTTGGCCGTTACCACCGGCTTCTTGGTCTATGTATCTGATGCCGGTGGTTTACTATTCTTTTACATTTTAATATTTATATTCTACTTAAAAATTACTTAAAATTTGCAGGTATATAAAAACGATTAAAGAGAATGGTTATTAACCAATATTTATTTATTTACGTTTTGTACAAAAACATTATTCTCTTATAGTAACATGTTATAGTGGCACAGTTTAATACAACTTAAAAATAAAAGCATCTCCCATACTAAGCTAATATATACATTACATTACGAGTATACGATTAATATCAAGAAGATATCGATTAATAAAGAATATCAAGAAGAAACTTTAGGCTTAGAAGATTGAAGCACCCGACCTTCCCATCCCTTTCTTTCAATAAACCTGAGTCGGATCCCACTAACGGGGTACGTGATAATTGATTTAGGTTCAAATTCTATTTGTCTTTCCATATCCGTCGCCAGCTCAACTCGGTACTTCTTAAATATGGTGACCAGGCCGGAAATCATTTGCATCTTAGCAAACCTCAAACCTGGGGATAAGAAAATAGAGTTTATTATGTTACAATGTTAGATACACATGTGAAACTAGTCTATATATTTATATAGTATAGTATACATAATCATAGTCACGATGTTTTTGACTAACTGTACAACATCATCTTTCACGAAATTGTTTCTTGGAAGTGTTTGTCACTATACAACTATTTGATCAAAAGTCACTACTAGTAATTTGGAATTAATAGGACAAGTCAATTCAACATTATCATCCCCAGCCACACAGGATTTATTACTAATGAGGGAGTATTTGGACTTTACAAACATACATGAAACGGACTACCATCTACTACTACGTCATCCGTGGAGTCAAATTTATATATATATAAATGGTAAGTCGTTTGTGTATGCTTGAAAAACTCAAAAAGATCGTCATCGATTGAGTTCAAATTGTGATACGATATACTACACGCTTCAAAGTAATTTTTTTCCCATTTTTTGCAACAAATTTTTTGCAGCCACAGCGAAGCGTGGCACCGTACCCGCTAATTATAAATATTAATAATAATGTATTAAACTCTGACAATATCAGTATATTTTATCATGCTTAATACACAAAACGTAATGTGAAATTACATCAAAGATGATAATAGAACAGTTTGATTTAACTCAAAGTAACTGCACGGAAAAAATCAATAAAATATACCCAACTGCTTAGAAACGTACACTATGAACAGGTGAAACAGTTCAAAATTAAAATAATGTGTATTAAATCCATAGATATACATTTTTCGGGAAATTCTATTTACAGCTACACATCATCACATCATCATCAACAGCCTTTAGTAGTCCACTGCTGGACATAGGCCTCTCCTTAGGAAAGAGGTTTCGGACTATTATAACAGCTACACATAACTCTGCTAAAATGTAACTTCAAGAAGAAGACTATGACAGTAAAATAAATTAATAAGGACAAAGAATAGGTATTTCCAAGTAGATTTTAATAAATAAAAGAATTTAATATGCTTACCTATACATATTCTCGGCCCTTCACCGAAAGGCATGTAGGTGTAAGGTTTGATCATGCGTTTTTCTTCACCAAGGAACCTCTCTGGGCGATACTGTTCAGGTTCCGGGAAGTGTTCAGGGCTGTGTTGCAAATGATACAATGGTATATGAATCCGTAACCCTTTTTCCAGCTCCAGGCCATCAGGGAGAATATAATCTTCGGTGACTTCACGATTAAGTGTTGCTAGCACGGGATAAAGACGAAGAGCCTCATCGATACACGCGTCAAGATACGGCATCTCCGTTAAACATTCATATTCCAGCACGTTGTCATGGCGACGCAGATATGTATCTACCTCCTCTAAAACTTTTTCTTGTGCCTGTGGACTCTTCGCCAGTTCATACAGGGTATAACTTGATGTAATTGCCGAAGTATCAAATCCTGCACCAAAGAAAAGAAAGCTTTGCGCCACCAACATATCGTCATTGATTTCCAAACCGTCAAAACTTTCCGGAGAAAGCTTGTTATGTTCCTTTAATTTTAGTAGCAAATCTACGAAATCATTTTTGTTCGTTGGCTTATATTGTCGTTCCTTAAAAACTCCTGTCAATAGACTATAAAAGAATGTCTCCAGCTT